TTTTAACATCCGTAGTAGCGACTGTTTACGGTTGTAGTTGTGACTGGTTATGTTTGTGGTTGCTACTGGTTTAGTTTGTAGTTGAAGCTGGTTACGTCCGTAGTTGAGACTGGTTCCGTTTGTAGTTGCGACTGGTTATGCGTGTAGTTTCTACTGGTTTAGTTTGTAGTTGAGACTGGTTACGTTCGTAGTTGAGTCTGTTTATGTTCCTAGCTATTACTGGTTTAGATCGTAGTTGTGAATGGTTTTGTTCGTAGTTGAGACTGGTTACGTCTGTAGTTGCGACTGGTTATGTTTGTAGTTTCGACTGGTTATGTTTGTAGTTGCTATTGGTTATGTTTGTAGTTGTTACTGGTTTAGTTTGTAGTTGCGACTGGTTATGTTCGTAGTTGAGAATGGTTATGTATGTAGTTGCGACTGGTTCCCTTGTAGTTGCGACTTCTTACATCCGTAGTAACGACTGGTTACGTTTGTAGTTGTGACTGGATACGTTTGTAGTTGCTACTGGTATAGATTGTATTTGGAACTGGTTACGTCCGTAGTTGAGACTGTTTCCGTTTGTAGTTGCGACTGGTTATGTGTGTAGTTTCTACTGGTTTAGTTTGTAGTTGAGACTGGTTCCGTTTGTAGTTGCGACTGGTTATGTTTGTAGTTGCTACTGGTTTAGTTTGTAGTTGTGACTGGTTACGTTCGTAGTTGAGACTGGTTATGTTTGTAGTTGCGACTGGTTATGTTTGTAGTTGCTACTGGTTTAGTTTGTAGTTGCAACTCGTTTAGTTTGTAGTTGAGACTGTTTACGTTCATAGCTGAGACTGGTTCCGTTTGTAGTTGCGACTGGTTCCGTTTGTAGTTGCGACTGGTTATGTTTGTAGTTGCTTCTGGTTTAGTTCGTAATTGAGACTGATTATGTTCGTAGTTGAGACTGGTTATGTTTGTAGTTGCGACTGGTTCCCTTTGTAGTAACGACTTGTTACATCCGTAGTAGCGACTGGTTACGTTTGTAGTTGCGACTGGTTCCCTTTGTTGTTGCGTCTTCTTTCATCCTAAGTAGTGACTGGTTACGTTTGTAGTTGCGACTGGTTATGTTAGTAGTTATAACTGGATTAGTTCGTAGTTGTGAATGGTTTTGTTTGTAGTTGAGACTAGTTACGTCCGTAGTTGCGACTACTTATGTTTATAGTTTCGACTGGTTATGTTTGTAGTTGCTACAGGTTATGATTGTGGTTGCTACTGGTTTAGTTTGTAGTTGAGACTGGTTATGTTCGTAGTTGAGACTGGTTATGTTTGTAGTTGCGACTGGTTCCCTTTGTAGTTGCGACTTCTTACATCCTTTGTAGCGACTGGTTACGTGTGTAGTTGCGACTGGTTATGTTTGTAGTTGTTACTGGTTAAGTTTGTAGTTGAGACTGGTTACGTTCGTTGTTGAGACTGGTTATGTTTGTGGTTCCGACTGATTCCCTTTGTAATTGCGATTTTTAACATCCGTAGTAGCGACTGTTTTTCGGTTGTAGTTGTGACTGGTTATGTTTGTGGTTGCTACTGGTTTAGTTTGTAGTTGAAGCTGGTTACGTCCGTAGTTGACACTGGTTACGTTTGTAGTTGCGACTGGTTATGTGTGTAGTTTCCACTGGTTTAGTTTGTAGTTGAGACTGGTTACGTTCGTAGTTGAGTCTGTTTATGTTCGTAGTTATTACTGGTTTAGTTCGTAGATGTGAATGGTTTTGTTCGTAGTTGAGACTGGTTACGTCTGTAGTTGCGACTGGTTATGTTTGTAGTTTCGACTGGTTATGTTTGTAGTTGCTATTGGTTATGTTTGTAGTTGTTACTGGTTTAGTTTGTAGTTGCGACTGGTTATGTTCGTAGTTGAGAATGGTTATGTTTGTAGTTGCGACTGGTTCCCTTTGTAGTTGCGACTTCTTACATCCGTAGTAACGACTGGTTACGTTTGTAGTTGTGACTGGATACGTTTGTAGTTGCTACTGGTATAGATTGTATTTGGTACTGGTTACGTCCGTAGTTGTGACTGTTTCCGTTTGTAGTTGCGCCTGTTTATGTGTGTAGTTTCTACTGGTTTAGTTTGTAGTTGAGACTGGTTCCGTTTGTAGTTGCGACTGGTTATGTTTGTAGTTGCTACTGGTTTAGTTTGTATTTGTGACTGGTTACGTTCGTAGTTGAGACTGGTTATGTTTGTAGTTGCGACTGGTTATGTTTGTAGTTGCTACTTGTTTAGTTTGTAGTTGCAACTCGTTTAGTTTGTAGTTGAGACTGTTTACGTTCATAGCTGAGACTGGTTCCGTTTGTAGTTGCGACTGGTTCCGTTTGTAGTTGCGACTGGTTATGTTTGTAGTTGCTTCTGGTTTAGTTCGTAATTGAGACTGGTTATGTTCGTAGTTGAGACTGGTTATGTTTGTAGTTGCGACTGGTTCCCTTTGTAGTAACGACTTGTTACATCCGTAGTAGCGACTGGTTACGTTTGTAGTTGCGACTGGTTCCCTTTGTTGTTGCGTCTTCTTTCATCCTAAGTAAGTGACTGGTTACGTTTGTAGTGGCGACTGGTTATGTTAGTAGTTATAACTGGATTAGTTCGTAGTTGTGAATGGTTTTGTTCGTAGTTGAGACTAGTTACGTCCGTAGTTGCGCCTATTTATGTTTGTAGTTTCGACTGGTTATGTTTGTAGTTGCTACAGGTTATGATTGTAGTTGCTACTGGTTTAGTTTGTAGTTGAGACTGGTTATGTTCGTAGTTGAGACTGGTTTTGTTAGTAGTTGCGACTGGTTCCCTTTGTAGTTGCGACTTCTTACATCCGTAGTAGCGACTGGTTACGTTTGTAGTTGCGACTGGTTATGTTTGTAGTTGCTACTGGTTAAGTTTGTAGTTGAGACTGGTTATGTTCGTAGATGAGATTGGTTCCGTTTGTAGTAGTGACTGGTTATGTTTGTAGTTGCTACTGGTTTAGTATGTAGTTGAGACTGGTTATGTTCGTAGTTGAGAATTGTTGTGTTTGTAGTTGCAACTGGTTCCCTTTGTAGTTGCCACTTCTTACATCCGTAGTAGCGACTGGTTACGTTTGTAGTTGCGACTGGTTATGTTTGTAGTTGCTACTGGATATGTTTGTAGTTGAGACTGGTTACGTCTGTATTTGGGACTGGTTACATTTGCAGTTGCGACTGGTTTTATTCGCAGTTCCGACTGGTTACATACGCAGTTGAGACTGCTTACATTCGTAGTTGAGACTAGTAACATTCGCAGTTGCGACTGAATACATTCGCAGTTGCGACTTGTTATGTTTGTAGTTGCTTCTGTTTAAGTTCGTTGTTCCGACTTACTTACATCCGTAGTAGCGACTGGTTCCGTTTGTAGTGGCGATTGGTTATGTTTTGTAGTTGCTACTGGATTAGTTTGTAGTTGAGACTGGTAACGTTCGTAGTTGAGACTGGTTATGTTTGTAGTTGCGACTGGTTCCCTTTGCAGTTGCGACTTCTTACATCCGTAGTAGCGACTGGTTACGTTTGTAGTTGCTACTGGTTATGTTTGTAGTTGCTACTGGTTAAGTTTGTAGTTGAGACTGGTTACGTTCGTAGTTGAGGACTGATTCCGTTTGTAGTTGCGCCTGGTTATGTCTGTACTTTCTACTGGTTTAGTTTGTAGTTGAGACTGATAATGTTCGTAGTTGAGACTGGTTATGTTTGTAGTTGCGACTGGTTATGTTTGTAGTTGCTACTGGTTTAGTTTGTAGTTGAGACTGGTAATGTTCGTAGTTGAGACTGGTTATGTTTGTAGTTGCGACTGGTTATGTGTGTAGTTTCTACTGGTTTAGTTTGTAGTTGAGACTGGTCACGTTCGTAGTTGAGTCTGTTTATGTTCGTAGTTATTACTGGTTTCAGTTCGTAGTTGTGAATGGTTTTGTTCGTAGTTGGGACTGGTTACGTCTGTAGTTGCGACTGGTTATGTTGTAGTTTCGACTGGTTATGTTTGTAGTTGCTATTGGCTATGTTTGTAGTTGTTACTGGTTTAGTTTGTAGTTGCGACTGGTTATGTTCGTAGTTGAGAATTGTTATGTTTGTAGTTGCGACTGGTTCCCTTTGTAGTTGCGAATTCTTGCATCCGTAGTAACGACTGGTTACGTTTGTAGTTGTGACTGGATAAGTTTGTAGTTGCTACTGGTATAGATTGTATTTGGAACTGGTTACGTCCGTAGTTGAAACTGTTTCCGTTTGTAGTTGCGACTGGTTATGTGTGTAGTTTCTACTGGTTTAGTTTGTAGTTGAGATTGGTTACGTTCGTAGTTGAGTCTGGTTATGTTCGTAGTTATTACTGGTTTAGTTCGTAGTTGTGAATGGTTTTGTTCGAAGTTGAGACTGGTTACGTCTGTAGTTGCGACTGGTTAAGTTTGTAGCTTCGACTGGTTATGTTTGTAGTTGCTACTGGTTATGTTTGTAGTTGCTACTGGTTTAGTTTGTAGTTGCAAACTGGTTTTGCTTGTAGTTGCGACTGGTTATGCTTGTAGTTGCGACTGTTTATGTTCGCAGTTGTGACTGGTTACATTGGTAGTAGTGACTGGTTACGTTCGAAGGTATGGCTGGTAATGGTCTTAGTTGCTAGTGGTAAAGTTTTTAGTTGCGTCAGGGTTGCGTCAGGGTTGCGTCAGGGTTGCGTCAGGGTTGCGTCAGGGTTGCGTCAGGGTTGCGTCAGGGTTGCGTCAGGGTTGCGTCAGGGTTGCGTCAGGGTTGCGTCAGGGTTGCGTCAGGGTTGCGTCAGGGTTGCGTCAGGGTCCCCCCTGTGGGTAGGGGGTTAGAATACTCCCACAGTATTCCCTGCTTGTCGTATGAGGCGACTAAAAGGGATTGTATGAATGGTGTATGAATGTTCTCGTATGGCTATTCCTATCTTTACTCTTCTATCACTCTCTTTTCTACTCTTTGCTCTCTATTGCTTCCTTCCGTTCCTTTCCTTTCCCTTGGGGAGCCTGGCTCCCTTATATTAAAAAAAAAAAAATATGATGAGTACGACGAATGGAATAAGCGGGCATGGGAGGGATACCCATGCCACGGCGGTGTCAGGTGGTGGTAGGGCAGGCCACCCGCCGTCGTCAACCAACGACTTGCGCCAGGAGTTTGGGGTAGGCAACCTGGCCCCAGCTCTGGATAATGCGTCAGGAAGTGCATCGCAGGTAGGCGACCTGGCCTGCGGTGTGTCTAATGCGTCAGGAAGAGCAGGTAGGGATGAGGGCCACCTGGAGGAGTGGCAGAAGGCTGCTAGGGCGGCTGAAGGCATGCGTTTTGCCGGACTCACCATCAAACGGGAGACGCGGAAGGCGAAGCGTGCGAGGCCCGTAGTGTACCTCGTCCGAGGAGGATGAGTCGGTGTTAGACTGGCCCGTGCTGGGGGAAGGAGGACGAGCGGAGACCCCTGCCTTGTCTCAGGTGGAGACTGGTAGGGTGATCGACACGCTAAAGGAGGCCTCCATCGATGCCGAAAGAGCTAGGCTGAGATGCCGGAACCTCAAAGGAGACATCTCGGGGGTAATGAAAAGGACCCATAGAATAACTATGGAGGGGACTCAAGACCCTGAGAGTAAGGCTCCAAAACTGTGAAGATGATCCTCCGTCGGCGAAGGAAACAATTGCGCAGCTGAAGAGCTGAACTGAAAGCCATGGAGCTGCGCAACAAGGAAGTGTCAGAGGAGAACACCCGCCTCAAAAGGGTAATCAAGAGGATGGAAACTCCCTTGGTTACCAAAACGAAGGATAGGACCCCGGACGCAAGGCATTCAGACGGGTCGGTGAAGGCACTGGCGGAGGCTGTCCCGCAGTGTGCAGCAACAGCTGCAGCAAGTACAGCAGCAACAACAGCAACAACTGCAGCAAGTACTGCAACAGCTACACCAACAGCCGCAGCGGCAACAGCAGCAGCGTCAGCCGCAGCAGCGTCAGCCGCAGCCGCAGAGACAACAGCAGCAGCAGCAACAACAACGGCAGCAGACGCTGAGTGGAGCAGCGACTGGGGCTGGTGGGACCGCACAGGGGCCCCACACTCCGTGCTGAGTCCACTAGACCTCCTGCGAAGCAGGTAAGTGTAGGTAAGGCACTAACCCCGCAGGATGATTTTGTCCAGGTACTTGGCCGTAAGAGGAGGAGGGTCCAGAGGAGAGAAGCTAATGTACTCTCCCTGGCTGCATCAAGGGATGTAGTCAACGACGCTCAACCCTTGCTGGTACAGGCGCCCTCCAAGAAGAAAAGGAAGGGGAGAAACCGTGCGCAACGACGGAGGAGGAAGTTGCAAAGGGAAAGAGAAGTCGCTGCAATTTCCCTATCCTGTACCGAGGAGACGACGTACAGGGATGCACTTATGCGGGCCACGGAAGGAATCAACCTGAAGGACCTGGGAATTGGCACCCATGTCCTGCAGGAGAGGACTTACAGGTGCCTTTATATGGCAGGTACGAGGCAAAGGGGCAAATGCGAAGGCCGACCGGGTGGCGGAGGCCTTGAGGAATGCTGTCCCAGGGGCAAAAATCACCCGCCCCCTTCGTACGAGCACCATGAGGCTGGTGGGATTGGACGCGTACGCCAATGGTACCGTCATAAGGAACGCACTTTTGGAGGTGCGATCTGGAACGGACCCCAACCTCATTAAGGTCGGAGAGATCAGGATTGGCAGGGGCAGACTTGGTGAGGCCACTGTCACGGCTCCGATGCCTGTTATCAGAGCGGCCCTGGAAAGGGGCAGAATAGACGTGGGACTCACAAAGGTGAGAGTGCACGAACTCAGGCAGCGGCCCCTCACATGCCACCGGTGCCTTGCGCGAGGACATGTCGTGGCAACGTGCCCGGCCACAAAGTCTAGGACAGACTTGTGCTACATCTGTGGGAAGCCGGGCCACGTGGCCAAAGCATGTACGGACAAGGTGGCGTGCCCGGTTTGCACAGATGCTGGCCGGAAACAGACTAACCATCGAGCCGGTTCCTGGAGTGCCCGGTTGTGCCCTCCCAAGAAATGGGTGGACAAGGTGTTCGTGAGGGCACCAAATGGTGGTTCGGAGACAATGACAAACAGGAGAAGTGTAGTGACAGGGAAAGAGACCCATAGAGGAATGTCACAGGAAGACATGGAGGTGGAACAAGGGGTACCGAGCACCTCAATAGTGGTAGAAACAGCGGAGAGTCCATAGACAATGTTCTCTGCTGTTCTACAAACCAACACAAACCACGCGCGCCGTGCACAGGACTTGCTGGCACAGCGCATGCGCGAGGACAGAGTAGAGCTGGCGATCATTGCGGAACCATGGTGGGTTCCTCCGGGGGATGAGAGGTGGTTCTCATCCTAGGAGGGACCTCACTCTCCGCGGTGCTTGTGGGCGAAAGTAGAAGACCCTGTAGCCTTGTGCGTAGGGGCCTTTTCTATGTAGCCGTTAAATGGGGGGACTCGCTGGTAGTCTCGGTTTACTTTCCTCCCAGCGAGAATATAATTATGTTTAGTAGACTCCTTAATGAGCTTGAGGAGCTTTTAGAAGCATTTCCGCTCTCCCAGCGCTGGTGGCTGGCGACTTTAATGCCCGGTCCAGCAGATGGGACCCCAGAAGGCAGGAGTAACCGGAGAGGTGAGTTGCTCTGTGCCTGGGCCAATAGATTGGATCTGGGTTTGCTGAACCGGGTTGGCTGTCCTACGTGCGTTCGACCACAGGGGTCGAGCGTCATAGATCTAACGTGGGGCACGTCGGCGGCTGGCGTCCGCCTCTCGGACTGGAGAGTGGATGAGGTTGAGTCCCTGTCGGACCACCTACATATTAGATATAATTATAGGCACGAAGCTACAGGGGTCCGAAACTCTTGCCCACAGGAGAAAAAGTTTCCTCGCTGGAAGATTAACTCCCTGGATGAGGACTACTTGGCGGCGGCCCTCATCTCGGGGGAGTGGACGGGTGGAATTGGATGCGGGAGAAGTGCGATCGGTGCGGACTGTGTGGACAAGATGGTGAAGTGGGCACAGTCTACACTGAAACAGGCGTGCGACACGGCCATGTCCCGGGTAAGGGGACAAACCCGTGGTAGAAGAAGTACTTACTGGTGGTCGGACGAACTAGCGAACCTTAGGGCCGTTGCGACGACCACAGTAAGGAAACTTTCCAGGGCCAGGAAGAAAAAGAAGAACGGCGATGAAATAGTGCGTGCCTGGACGCTCGAAGGGACGCAAGGAGGGCACTGTCTAGGGCTATTAAAGTGGCCAAGAGGAACTCATGGAGGGACCTGCTGGACTCCATAGAGGAGGATCCATGGGGAAGACCCTACAAACTGGTCTTGGGGAAACTAAGGCCATATGCCCCACCAGTAACCGAAACCATGGAGGAGGAGGTACTGGAAAAAATCCTCTGTGAGTTGTTCCCAGGAGGACCGGGAGTTGAAGAGCCGCAGGAACCAACGCTATCGGAGGTAACTATCTCTGAAGAGGAGGTCCTTGGCTGCTGCCCGGAAAAAAGGAAGAGGAAGAAAGGCTCCTGGACTGATGGAATACCGGGTGTGGTTGTGCGTGCTGCGTCGATACACTGTGGGAAAGGGTTGGCGCAGTGCTTTTCTGCATGCCTTAGCACAGGAAAGTTCCCAACAGCGTGGAAGATAGCGAGGCTCGTCCTTATCAAAAAGAAGAGGGACGCGCCCCCGGACTCATCGGGATCATATAGACCCATATGCGTGATTGGCGAACTGGGGAAACTATTCGAGCGGATAGTCGTTGGCCGGATCAACAACTATCTAGAGGAGACTCGTACCCTGTCGTCATCACAATATGGGTTTAGGCCGGGAAGATCCACTGTGGATGCCGTCCTCGATGTTAAAAACTTCGTGGAGGCATCGACGCGGATCGGGAAGGTGGTTATCCTGGTGAGTCTGGATATCTCGAACGCCTTCAATTCCTTGCCGTGACTGTGATCATCAGGGCTATGGAGCGTGGAAAATTTCCACGTTACATAGTGGACATCATAAAGAGTTACCTGGACAAACGCGCCATAGCATACACGAACAAGTATGGACGCGTCGTGAAAAGACAGGTGTATTGTGGGGTCCCACAGGGATCCGTTTTGGGCCCTACGTTGTGGAACATTGCCTATGACAGTGTCCTCCGAATCCCGATGCCAGGTGGCTCCCGTGTCGTCTGCTATGCGGACGACACGGCCCTCCTGTCATCGGGATGGGACCTGTCGCAGGCCATCGTGACGCCGAGCAGGACCTGGAAGTCCTGGTAAGGGAGATCGAGGGATTGGGCCTTAAAGTGGCGCCACAAAGACGGAGGCCATGGCCTTCCCTGCCCTCTGCCTTCTGCAGACGCAGGAATGTCTCACCACCCTAAGATTTGCCTTAGAGGTGTTCGCGTAGAGGTCAGAACCAGTGTGAAATACCTGGGCATTGTCGTAGACTCAAAAATGTCGTTCAGGCCCCACTTTGAGGCCGTAATTCCAAAAGCCGAGGGTATCCTTCGGCACCTTGGAAGGCTCCTTCCGAACCTTCACGGACCGGGCGAGAGGAAGCGGCGCCTCTATAGCGGCGTGATCCACTCGGTGCTCCTATATGGGGCACCGGTGTGGTGGCGCGCCATTGTGGAGGATACGCGAATCGGGCGGGCTGTGCGGAGCCTCCAAAGGAAGGTGGCGATCCGGGTGTGTTGTGCCTATAGGACGATCTCCTTCCATGCGGCTATGATGATCGCGGGGATTATTCCTCTCGGTCATTTAGCACCCCAGCTGGCGGAAACGTATGCGGCCGTTAGAGGCGCGGAGGAACCTGTTTCTCCGCGCGCTAAGGCTGTATTGGGTGCTCTTGCCAGAAGGAGGGCAATAGAGGCATGGAAGGCTGAGGAACTAGAGTTCATCGGGTCCCCAGAGGCAACGGGAGTGCGCACGAGGGCGGCCATTGCCGAATGGTTGGCTGAGTGGATTGGAAGGCCGTTCTCTATCGGAACGACATTTCATACCACGCAGCTGATGACCGGTCATGGATGTTTCTCGGCGTATTTATATGGAATAAGGAAAATCCCCTCCCCACGTTGTTTTCACTGCGAGGGGAGTGAGGATACGGCGGAACACACCCTGATCGACTGCCCGGCGTGGATGGATGCCAGGAATGAATTGATCGCCGCGATGGGGGGAGGTCAGCTAACCCTTCCCGAGATAGTCAGGGTTTCCCTGACTGTCCCGGGAGGATGGGCGGCCTTTCGGACCTTCGCTGGACGGGTTATGCGCGCAAAGGAGGACGCTGAAAGGCGCAGGGAACGGTTGCGTGCAGATGATGGATGTGTGAATGAGCGTGTGGGTTCGTACGCGGATGGGAGCGCGAACGATTGGCCGCATAGGAGAGTGATTCCAGTGCGGCCACCTCGGGCAAGGCTCCGAGCAGCTCAGGCGGCGCCTGGCTCAAGCGTCGCTCCTTTATAGTCGGTAGTTCGTATAAACAAAGGTGAGTGGGCCCGGTCAGAGCACCATGGGGGTGGAAATCGGGCCAATATGTATATAGTCAGGGAGTATTTTGCGTCTCCAGGAGCTCGTTGGCCCCTGTCGAGTGCGCTATAGTGGTGTGAATGTGGATGTATGGATGAATGAGAGCAAGGCGAATACCGGCCTGGCTCACCGAGAAGGGGTGGTGGGTGAATTTGTAATACGCATATGTGTAATCCCGCCCACCACCTTGTTTTCTCAGCGCGTTAGTTATAAGAATCGGGAGGTTTTTTAGTCGGTAGGCGACCCGTTCCTGGGAGCATTCCCAGGCGGGCTGAATCCGACACTCCTCTGAGTACCGGGCTCAGAGGGCCTATGAAGGTTTTTCCTCCTGACGAAACAAAAAAAAAAAAAAAAAAAAAAAAGGGTTGCGTCAGGGTTGCGTCAGGGTTGCGTCAGGGTTGCCGTCAGGGTTGCGTCAGGGTTGCGTCAGGGTTGCGTCAGGGTTGCGTCAGGGTTGCGTCAGGGTTGCGTCAGGGTTGCGTCAGGGTTGCGTCAGGGTTGCGTCAGGCGTTGCGTCAGGGTTGCGTCAGGGTTGCGTCAGGGTTGCGTCAGGGTTGC